TATATATTTTTCATACCAATAAATCTTATTTATAGATCAACAATTTTATAACCCAAGTATGTATTTGTGCGTCCCTAAATTAACAAAATGTGTGTTTATATATATTGTTTTTTTCTTTTTAGACAATTTATGTTATATTTGATATGTATTGAAAGGATGTTAATGTTTTAAAATCATTAACAACCATTCATTTGTAGTAATGTAGTGTGTATGACTTTTTGTTATATCACGTTTGTGCAATTTTACAACACAATTAACATGGTTTAAATCTTACTAGTAGCTCTTAAGATTCAACTATAAATTAAATTAGAACACCAGAGTATTTAACCTAGAACAAAGAAGAAGAACCTTGAAGTTTTCTATTATATTCAACAATTTGATGATATTCTTTTTATAATTTCACATGAATTTAGTAAATTAATGATGATATTTATCTCGTGTGCCATCATTTAATTTTGCTATATTTTTTTCTCCTTGAAGACAATTCCATTTTTTGAACAATAAAATAATGGGAAATTACCTTAAATAAGACTAAAAAAGTTTGTGTATTTCAAAATAAGACTATCATGTTTTTATTCCCTAAAATAGAAATAATTATTGTCATGTTTTGACAATACCAGACTTTAAACATATAAGTAATTTTCAAATTTGCAGCAATTACTCCTATTTGGGGAATAAAAACATGGTAGTCCTATTTTAGAATTTTCAAATATTTTTACTCCTACTTTGATAATTTTCCCTAAATTAATTTATCATCTTTTAACTATTCATGATCTAATAACTCACGCACACAGGTTCAAGAAAGAAGACTCGAAAGGAATTGTATTCTGTATGTCTCTTCATGAGCCAATCGGCCAATATAAATACACAAAAAAGGATCCGATTAATTAACATCCGTATCCATATAAAAGGCTAAAGAATAATAACCAAAAATAGATAGGATTCTAGCCATAATAATATACTAAAATTTAATAGAATATCTCCCAATACCCCCTCAAGTTGGCACATGGGGATTTAAAATGCCCAACTTGTGTAGGAGAGTCTGAAACTGAACCTTGCCAAGAGCTTTAGTAAATATATCCGCCAATTGAATAGTAGTGGGGACATAGTTGGGAGAAATTATCTTGGCTTGAACAACATCGCGAACAAAATGACAGTCAACCTCAATATGTTTGGTACGCTCATGAAACACATGATTTTGGGCAATATGAAGAGCAAATTGACTATCACAGTACAATGGAATATAGCCTGATGATGCTGAACTCGCAAACTTAAAAGTAAAACCTTGAGCCATTTTAATTCACAAGTTACGACAACCATAGAACGATATTCAGCTTCAGTGGAAGAACGAGCAACAATAGAATGTTTCTAAGTTTTCCAGAAGATGGGCGGATGACCGAGAAAGACTAGTCAACCAGAAAGTGATCGACGAGTGACAGGACAAGCCGCCCAATCAAAATCACACCAACCAGATAAAGAGATCATTGTCTTCGCGAAGCAGATTCCCTTGTCGAGGTGATCCTTTTAGATACCAGACAACTCTCAGCACAACATTCCAATGATCTGTAAGAGGTTTTTGCATAAATTGAGAAAGAATGTGCACTGAATATGTGATGTATGGACGAGTAAAGGCCAGATAAATAAGTCGTCCAACAAGCCGACGATAAAATTCAGGATTCCTTGCTAGTGTATGATGTTGCTCGATCGAAAAAGAAGCCGACTTCGCTCCCAAGAGACCTGTTTCGGTAATAATATCCCGTGCATATTTTTGTCGGTTAAGATAAATTCCAGTCGAGCTGCGAGCAACTTTGATGCCCAAAAAATACTTGAGAGTGCCCAGATCCTTCATATGGAAGCATGCATTAAGATATGATTTAAAACGGGTAATAGCAACACCATCATTGCCAGAAATAAGGAGATCATCCACATAAACAAGAACATTAAGCTAAACAGCCCCTCGAGTAAGAGTAAATAAGGAATAATCTGCATAGGACTGAAGAAATCCATAACTTTTGAGAGTAGTAACCAACTCAGCAAACCAGCACCTCGGAGCCTGCTTCAGTCCATACAAGGATTTATGAAGCCGGCAGACCAGAGTAGTATCAGAAGTTTTATAACCCGGAGGAATAGTCATATAGACCTCCTCATGTAAATCACTATGTAGAAAGGCATTATGGACATCCAGTAGATGTGATTCCTAATGCTTAGTGGCCGTTATAGCAAGAAACGCGCACACAATCACTATTTTAGCAACTGTAGCAAAAGTTTCTGTATCATCCAGACCGGCAGTCTGCTGATTCCCAAAGATAACAAGACGAGCCTGGAGACGTTCAACTGTACCATCAAATTTATGCTTGACTTTATAAACCCATTGACAACCTAATGCGCGTTTACCTCAAGGCAAAGGAACAAGACTCCAAGTGGAATTATTTTCAAGTGCTTGGATTTCAGCCCGCATGGCATTGCGCCGTCCATCATGTTTAACGACATCATTAAATGATCGAGGCTCCACCACAGAATTAAGAGCTGCCAGGTAAGCTTATATTTTGAGGAAAAGGAATCACAAGTAACATGATGAGTTATATGGAACGGCGTACCTGAAGAAGATGACGAATCGGGAGGAGAGGGGGATGGACTGTTTTTAACAATGGTGTGAGTGACATAATCTTTGAGACAGACGAAAGGCATGCGTGTGCGTTGACCCCGACCTAAGTCAACGTGGAGCTCCTGCTGGGAAGTAGTGGGCGGCGTGTCAGCTATTGCGCTGGAAAGGGACGTATCCTGGGACATAGTTGAGGAAGGACCATCTGCTTGTGACGTAGTCTCCTCCTGAGGTGGTGTCTGCACTACGGCAGGTACATTAGAATACCCCAGGGAGAATGGATCAGTATATTCCGTAGGCATTAGCAGTTGAGAGTCCTCCGGGGAGCGAGAAATATCCGTAAGTGAGGAAGCAGATGTGAATGGAAATATTTGCTCAAAAAATTTTACATCACGAGACACGAAATATTCGTGAGTCTCTAGATCAAAAACATGTCATCCCTTCTTCCTAAAAATATATCCCACAAATACACATTTTCACCCTTGAACTTCATATTAAAGGCGTAGCATAAGTATCCAAACACATGAAGGGATTTATAACACGATGTTATAATCATGAAGCGCTGAAGGTGTATGATTAATCAGATAAGACGACGTTAATAGACATTCTCCCCAAAACGAAATAGGTAAGCTCCCCCGAAATCTCAATGCACGTGCCACATTTAAAATATGTCTATGCTTTCTCTCCACACGTCCATTTTGTTGGGGTGTACCCACACAAGAGGTTTGAAACATGATGCCACTAGTACGGAAGAAATCTTTTAAACAATTAAACTCGGTCCCGTTATCACTTCTCACACGTAATATTTTCTTGAAAAATTGGCGTCCTACCATAGCAACAAAAGAGAGAAACATTTTGAAAACTTCCGTTTTATCAATAAGCAGATAGATCCAAACAACTTGAGAATAATCATCAACAATTGTCAAAAATTGTCTAGCACCACACGAGGGAGGTGTTTTATATGGATCCCTGATATTCGTGTAATTTCCGATTGTATGTTTGTATTTTTAACTAGTTTTTATTAGTTGTAATTGTGGAAATTACACACTTTTGGTGTAATATTTTATTTTCATTTTTATTTGTAATTTGTTTAGATTAGGATTATTCTGAGCTAAACAGGTCAAAGACCATCCAGGGATCAAGATTGGACCTTAAAAGGTCAAGGAAAGGGCAAGGAGACAAGAAAGATTTCGATTTGAAAAAAATACTCATGTACTCGGTCAGGTATTGCCTATACCCGATCGGGTATTCGCTTGATTTGATTGTCCAAATCAAATCCGAGAACAAAATGATCGTGGGAGCAAATTTTCGTGAAGATTTGTCACATACCCGATCGGGTATGCCGACATACCCGATCGGGTATGCCCAGAAAAGTGACTTTCTGGGCAATTTCCTAAGATACCCGATCGGGTATCCTATATACCGATCGGGTATCAGACCATGCAGCTCCCAAAAGCCTATAAATACACCCCTTTCCTTCACAATGAAAACACCAATTCACATATACTCTTTAGCTCAGTTTAGATTAGTGTTTTCTTTATATTTTCTATCATGTTTAGTCTCCAAACGAGAAGCTAAACTCTTCCATCTTGGTTTTGCTACTTTGAAGCTTAATGAATTTGTAAGTTGTGAGTTATTCTCTTTAATCTTCTTCCTTGAATATTAATTCTTCTTTTAAATACTATTTCTATATCAATGTTGGGGAGTGTTACTAAGATGACAATTAGTTAACATCTTGACATTAGTTATAGTAATAGTTATTTCTTACTTTACGTTAATATTGGGGATCAGAGTGTTACTAAGATGACAATTAGTTAACATCTTGATATTAACTATAGTAGGATTCATCTTCTTTAATATTCTTCCTTGAGTATTAATTAATTCCTATTCATATTTCATATTACTATTTTGAACATTACTTAAAGGATCAACTAGTTTTGTTTCATATATTAATTATTACTAGAATCAATTGACGAATACGCTTGTTAATCGTTCGATCGTTTCACGGTAGTAAACTTGGGTTATTAATGCATGCGTTTCATGGTTAATAAACCAAGAGGAATTAATTATGTTGATTAAACCAATAAACCACTTGTGTTGAGGTTATCAATCTCAATCATTTTCATCTTGATTTTATTTCTACTATCGGGTTAATATACGGCGCGTGTTCTATATTAACTCGGTAGTAAGTTTTATTAATGAATGCATCTCGTTATTAATAACTACCCATGATGAACTGGATATACTCCTCGATTGAGTATTCGAGAGGAAGATAGTTAAAGATAAAACCGGGATCGACAAAGATTTCATTAAGTGGATAAAAGCAAAACCAAGTCTCCATCTCTATTAATTAAACTCATATAAGTCATTCATCTTCATATTTAATTAAATTAAATCACTCAAACCTAAATCCCCCCTTTGTTACTAGTTATAATATAAAAGAAAAATAGTCCTTTCCCTGTGGATACGAACCTTACTACACTATACTACGTATTAGTGTCGTATTGATTATTATTTTGAGTGCATACACGACAAAGTGCACGTCAATCCCACAAATCACAATGTACCATCTCAAAAATGTCTTTAGGTTTATTCAAACTAATAGGGAAAGGTTCTCTAGTCTGCTTAGCTCTAAAACAAATGTCACAAGGAAAATTTCCAATATTCTTCAAACCTCGTACGGGGGCCAAATTTTCAACCACTTGAGAAGCTGGGTGTCCCAACCCTTGATGCCACAGTTCAACAACAACATTATTTGATTCTTTGACTGCCAATATATGTGCCATTGGTTCCTCCCGTAGATAGTACAGTCCATTCCTCCGCTCACCCGTTCCAATCAGCCTCCTCGAGGGACGGTCCTGTATAACACACATATTACAAGTGAATTGAACGAAACAATTAAGCGCATCACTCAGTTGAGATACAGATATAAGGTTACACTGCAACTTAGGAACAAAGAGCACATTATTTAAAAATAAATCATTTGTAAATTGTACGCTCCCTTCCAGCGCAGTTAAGACAGTCTGTCCACCGGGAAGCCCAACAGTGCATGGGTCAACAAATTTAATATGACATAATAAGGACCGATTTCCACAAACATGATTTGTAGCACCGGTATCGATAATCCAAGCATTATCATTAAATGTACCGGCCATGCGATCGTCAGTAGTGAGCGAGTTACCAAACACGGAATACAAGGAGTTCCATTGCTCGGGAGTGAAACCAGGCAGAGGAGCTGCCTGGCTGCTACTGCCTTCGGTATGATGCTGCTGCGGCTTGGTTTCAGCTGCAACGGTAGCATGAGCCTTCGCCACCGGTCTTCCGTGAGGTGCTCCAGAGTTGCTCGTCATTCCAGAAGTGGTGGAACGACCACGACCGCCACCTTTAATCCCGGGTCGGGGTCTATCACCCCACCACTCCGGATATCCGTTAAGCTCAAAACAATTGGTCACTTCAGGACCGGAAAATTTACAATAGGAGCATTGCAATCCGGCTTTATCCGGTTTAACACCTCTGCCAATGCCTTTCCCGTCAGTCTAGACCGCAAATCCCAGTACGTCTGGCCTGTATTCCTGAGTCTGCAGAATTCACCGTACACGTTCTTCCTGCACCATCTGCTGGTAAACACGGTTTAGAGTCGACAATTCTGTTTGTGTCATCAATTGTGACCGTACTCCTCCATAAAAATCGGGTGTAAATTCCCATTAGAAATTGATGTAAGTTTTCTAATTCCCTCCCCTTTTCACGTTGACCAAGTACATCACACGTGCACTTGTTGCATTTACACTGAATTAACGGTTCATAATTGTTTAATGAATCCCACAAAGTCCGTAACTTTGCGTAATAGGTCCCGACGGTCATTCCTTTCGTCTGAACACATTTAGCAAGGTCCGTTTTAACTTGATGTATTTTCGGACCATCAACTAAAGCAAACCTCTCTTTCAAATCGCTCCACAGTCGTCACGCGTCTTCATAATGTGAAAGGTTTCCCTTCACCTTGATAGTCTCATTTTATACTCCATAATTGTATTTGATTTGTCTATTATTTAGAGCATTTTTGGGAGTTTTATGTTTTATTATGCTTAATTCTTTGATTATATTTTTTTCATGCGTACTTTGAATGATTTATATCTTTTTAGGGTGAAAAATAGAATACTTCCGACTAAAGCGAAAGTTCAAGGCATTGGTGTAAAAATTCGAAGTCAAACAGTGCAATTGCTGAAGCAAGTTGGACCCGAAATTACTCAATCGGGCTGATTAGTTAGAGCAGCTAGTCATATTTTTTGGACTGGACACACAAAAGGGCTAGTGGGGCATTTAGCTAATATACCTTTAGCTACAATTTACAATTAGAAATGGAACTTATGTTTGCTAGGCAGGCTCCACTATCCACGTGAGAAACAAAACTCAAAATCAAATTGGGCCTAAAGGGTGAGGGCTGGAGAACGTGGCTGCACCAGAAAAAAAGAGAAGAAGAAAAAAGAGCTGCGGCAGATTGAGAAAAGGGGAAGGAAGGAGGCGCAGAGAAGAATAGGAGGGGAGGCTGCGCAGAAAAGGGAAGAAAGAGAAGAAAGTCAGGGAGAGGTCCAACGCAGCAGAATTTCAGAGGAAGAAGAGCAAAGTTCTCCAATTTAGGGTTCTAATCAATTCTCTTTATTGCTTTTGAACATGAATTCAATCAATTACTATGCTGTGATTATGTTTATTAGAGGCTAAACTCTCAAGCTAGGGGTAGGGGATTAGCCACATGATTATGATACTTTAACCTTTGATTTCAGCTTGAATTGTGTGATTTATTCTTTTGGGTTTATTTGACTATTTTTATGTGTGGCCAACATTTAAATAGATTTTTCAGAATTATGTGAAGGAATGAAAGTTGAAGCATGATTCATGTATTTTGAGAATAAACATATAATTACCGGAATGGAAGCATGTATGGTGTTATATGACACAATTCAAGTACTTTTAAGGTGAAAGTGTTTAATCTATTTAACGTGAGCCGTAATTGGGATCGTAGTAGATTAAGCCTATTCCTAATTGTCGTAACTGAAATTAGGAATATTTTAGTGGTATCGTGTTCATAAATTCAGGCTTGAATGATAAGATAACGGTTGAAATAATCATGATGGTGAAACCTATCCCCTAGCTATTATTTATTTCTGAATTCATTTTTTTTTTTTGCATCTCTTTTTATTTTATTCGCGCTTAATTACCAAAAACACAAAAAAAAAAAAAAGGAAAAGAAATCAACCAATTCATTTTATTTATTCATAGATTAGTTCCAAACCAATCATATTTGTTATTAGTGCTGAAAATTCACGTGTCTCTGTGGATCGACCCCGGTTTACTCTGGGTTATTTTTATTACTACATCGGTCTTGTGCACTTGCGAGAAAAATACCGATCAAGTTTTTGGCGCCGTTGCCGGGGACAACGGTTTGAATTTTCTGCACTTTATTTACTATTTATTATTATTATTATTTTTGTTTCGTTTTGCTTTAGTGTGTTTCTCACAGATTCTCTTGGTGTATGATCTTGAGAAGACACGGTCCTGAAAATCTAGCACCACTTGATCTAGAGATTGAGAGAACCTGCAAAGCTAGCAAAGCTAATAGAAGACCTCAGAAAACTAAGATGGCAGAACCAACGCTGAATGATAGGAAGAGGCCAGAGGTTGCAGCTACCCCGTCGTGCATTGTTCTTTCAGATGCTGCCCGAGACTATGAATTAAAGGCTGCCCACTTCAATAACTTGCCCATCTTTCATGGAAATGCAGGGGAGAATCCATTGAATTTTATCAATGAATTCTTTGGAGCTCTCCAATTAATTCCGAGGCGGGGACTAGCAGAAGATGAGCTGAAACTGAGATGTTTCCCTTATACACTCCAAGGGAAAGCAAAAAAATGGTTTCTTGATCAGCGACCAGGAGCTTACAACACTTGGCCCTTGGTATACAATGCATTCATTGGCAAATTCTTCACCCCCGATATGACTCAAAAGTTGAGGCAAGAAATATACAATTTTTCTCAGAAAAATGGAGAGCAGTTTCAAGAGGCATGGGAGCGATTCTCTAGCATGCTTCGCCAGTGCCCACATCATCGAATTCCCAAAGACCTTCAAGTGGATATTTTTTATAATGCTCTGAATCCTTATTGTCGTGGAATCGTGGACAATCGAGCTAACGGCTATATAGGAAACAAGACCGAGGATGAAGCACTTCAGATTTTTGAATCAATAGCCGAAAATCCACAACTTCAAGGGACTGGGAACTCAACGGCGGAGGTGAATGGGATAAACATATCCCATGAGCTTGATAGAAGATTCTCTGAGTTTCACCAAACTCTCCAGAATGATATCAAAACATCTATTCAAGTCGGGTTGGGTGCAGTCTTGAATTCCCATGCACAAGTAGCACAAGTTGAAACCGGGTTGAACTTTTCTGACGCCGGCCAATCAACACCTTTGGAGGATGCAAATTACTTGAATTCTTACGGAGGGAGAATGCAAAGAAGCAACCAGTTTCAGAACAACCAAAATCAAAGCTGGGGAAATCAACAAAATCAAGCTTGGAAGCCTCCTGGTGTACCTACTGGACAGAACATAGCTCCAGGATTTCAGCCTCAAAGCAGCATCCCGCAGGATGTAAATGATGATCTGACCATGATGATGAAGAAGGTCATGTTGAGCATGAACAATATTGATCAAAAATTTGATTCCAGATTCACTCAACTTGAGGCATCTGTGGAGAATCTCAATAGCAAGTTCGGCAAGCTCGATTTTCGTGTTGAAGATCAGAATAAGAAGATGATGACACGGATTGACAATGTTGAGCAATACACCAGAACATCGGTTCAGGCTCTTGAGCGCCAGATTGGTCAACTAGCAAAAGAACAAGCTGTGAGGGAGCAAGGGAAACTGCCCAGCAGTACTGAAGTTAATCCCAGGGAGAATGCCATGGCAGTTACATTACGGAGTGGAAAAGAATTGGCAGATCTTGTTGAGAAGCCTCAGCCCATAGTTGAGAAGCAATTAAAATCCCCCGAGGAAGAAGCTGGGAAAGACATTGAGCAATCATTACCTCCCCAACCAAAGATCCAGTCTTACACTCCACCCATACCGTTTCCTCAACGTCTGAAGAAGAGAGAAGATGATACTAAATTCAAGAAGTTTATGGAAGTTTTTACTAAACTCCATATAAATATTCCTTTTGCAGAGGCTATTTCTCAAATCCCTACCTATGCAAAGTTCCTGAAAGAGATACTATCCAACAAGCGGAGGCTAGATGACTATGCCACTGTTGCTCTAACAGAAGAGTGCAGTGCAGTTCTTCAAAATAAGTTGCCTCCCAAGCTCAAAGACCCCGGCAGCTTTACAGTACCATGTTCTATGGGAAACATCGGTGAGGTAAAATCTCTTTGCGATTTAGGGGCTAGTATTAACTTAATGCCATATTCTCTTTTCAGGAAACTTGATGTTGGCGAGTTGAAACCCACCACAGTATCTCTGCAGCTGGCTGATCGCTCTATTCGGCATCCTATCGGGGTGTTAGAAGATGTCCTTGTTAAGATAGGGAAATTCTACTTCCCAGTAGATTTCCTTGTCTTAGATATGGAAGAGATGGAGATACCAGTTATCCTCGGGCGATCATTCCTAGCTACTGCAGCTGCGGTTATCGATGTGCAAGCCGGTACAGTCAAACTCAGAGTGGGGGAAGAGGAACAAGAGTTTCATGTATGGAAATCATTGAAGAAGCATCCATCAGAACCTCAATGCTTTCAAGTTGATACGCTTGAAACACTGGTGCATGATGTATTTGAAACGGAGTTCTGTGAAGACCCTTTATTAGCTTGCTTGACAAGAGGATCAACTCAAGGAGAAGAGAATCTGAAACTATCTGAAGAAGTGATGTTTCTGGAGCAAGGCAGACCTCACCGCACCTTCTTGCAAAGATTTGAAGCACTGGAAAGAGAAAAATCAGAATGTAATGCTTCCACAAGTTGCCCAGCTAAGCCAATTTTGAAGCCTCTCCCACCAAATCTCAAGTACGTGTTCCT